CTGCGACGGCCATATCGGCACCTTCTCCGTGAGACAAACCTTACAATCCTTCAAATCGCTCGCGTAAACCTCTTGCGGGTCCCACTCGACCAGAAGCGAACCGGACGACGGGTAGTAAGTCCCGTTCTGCTCCTTGGGGTCGCTCGACCAGTTCCCGACGTAGAAACTCCCGTCGGCCCACTTGAAAGTCCCGTTCCCTTTCGGCACTCCGTCTTCCCAACTCCCCTCGTACGCGTTCCCATTCGTCCACATCATCCTCCCGCCGCCGCAAATCCTCCCGTTCTTCCACTCCCCAACGTAAAAGTTCCCCTTTTTCCATTGGTACTTCCCTTGCCCTTCTTGCGAACCACGGCTCCATTCGCCTTCGTAGCTATCCCCGTTCGCGTACTCCTTTATACCATAACCGTGCTTTAGATTCATCACCCACGAGCCTTTATACGTGCCCCCGTTTGCTCCCGTGTAAGTTCCCTCACCATCCATGAACCCGCTTTTGAAATTCCCTTCGTACATTGCGCCAGAAGGCCAGCTGAATACGCCTTTACCCATCGTTTTTCCTTTAAACCACTCACCAACGTACATACAACCGTCGGTCCACCAATACTTGCCCTGCCCATGTGGGAAGCTGTCGGCCCAATAGCCAGCGTAGTAGTCGCCATTGGGGAGGAATTTCTCCGCGTGGTAGACCTCACCGGGAGCGTGTGTTTCCTCATCCAGGTCGTCGTTCGTTTCTTGATCTTCGACGGCGTTCGTGTTGTTCTCGACTGGGTAAGACGTGCCGAAGATCGTGTTGGCTCGTTTTTTGGCCGCGGCCTGTGTTCTGCGGACAGTCGCCTCCCAAGCCTTCATGGTCGGTTTTTTTATACAATGTCTCGTTTTTTTCTTCTCGGGTTTTCTTGGTCTGCTACCTGGACATGATGTGCCTGCACTTGCATGGCTCGGTCAGGCAATTTGTCGAACAGGTTATGGGTATCATTCAAACCAAACAAAAAAAAGTTCAATCTTTGTTCTTTCTTTCTCTCGTCTCTGCAATCTCTCTCTCTTTTTTTTTCTCTCTCTACGTGTGATGAAAAATGGGAAGGAAAAGGAGGGGAGCAATCCAAACCAGACACTAGGAACAAAAAATTCCTTGCCTGACATTTTTTGCATATTATTTTTTTTTATTGCAAAAAATATTTTTACGTGATTGTCCTCTACCATTTTTAGGTTGTGTGCCAAGAATGTGTAAGGGAGATGAATCTGATTGGTTTATGGAATAAACTAAACATAGACAAAAAAATGGGGCAAAATGTTTTGCAAGGAAGACTTGTTCATATATCCAGCGTTAAAGACGCTAGCAGTTCTCTTACATTCGGCGGTGTATGCGGATTTATGGTGGTTATATAGCATCATAAACACACACACACACTTATGCGTTTTTAATAAATCCATTGATTAATTAAATTAACTTCAAGCTCAACGGGGCTTAATTTGATTGACTCGTATATGTCATGATGATAATACTCCAAAACATGATTATTTTATATAGATTTTTATAGTTCGGCTCGAGATTGGCTCGTTAATATTGATGAACGAGCCAAGCTCGAGTTCTATTATGAGCTCGTTAAGAGCTCGAACTCGAGTAATATATGAGTTCAAGTTCGGTTGAGCTCATTTACACCTCTATGCAAAACTTATGCATGGATGACACACATAAATTGAAAGCTCAATAAAGCTTGAAAACATGATTTTTTATATAATTTTCTATAGTTCGACTCGTAAAAGCTCGATTTCGACTCGAGCTTTATTTGTTAATATGGATAAACGAGTTGAGCTTGAATTCGATTATAAACTCGTTGAAGACTCGAACTCGAGCAGCGTTGGCTCAAACTCGGTTGGGCTCGTTTACACCTCCCGCCCTCTTAGGCAATGATAAGTGAATTATTATTTGAAATAACATATCAGTTCAGTTTTCAAACTTTCATGTAACCATCTAATTTGAAATTTAATTATTAATTAAATTAAAATATTGAAAATGGCATCAACCACGGTAATATTAATCATGCTATTTCATCTCTACATGAAGTTTGCCAAACAATATTTCTTTGTTTATATAAATTTAATTTATGTTTATAAATGTATATATAATCATATTAATATTGGAGCATGTACATCATATTTTGTACATAATAATGTGCAAATTTCTCAATTTTAATGTCTATTTAAATAAATTATTTAAGTAGAATATATTACTGTTTGAAAAAGAATAATTTATAATCCCTCTGTTTCTTTTTAGATGTCGTTTTAATTTAAAATTTCTTACAATTTTCATGAGATGTGTAATAATTTTATATATTAATCCTCATAAATTTAGTGTTTGAATTATTAATGGTTGGTTTTTAAAATAATGATAAGAAATAAAGTTTGTTAAAGAGAATAAAGTTGAAAGAATGAATAAAATATTTTCAACGATAATTAATTTGCAAAAATATTGATATCCTACAACGACATGTATTATGAAACAGAGGGAGTATTTGTAATAATTCCACGTGTACAAAACTACGTGGATAAAAGGAGGATAACACAAAAATCACCAACAGTCCACCGCGTTCCACAGAGATCTCCCTCCCATCATCTCTCTCCCTCTCTCCCTCTCTCTTACAAGTCACACTCACACACACACAGTCACACGCACGGATTCAGGAGAGAGAAATGGTAACCGTATCTTTCATCTCATCCGCTCCTTCGATGGCGTCTCTGGTCCAGTCGCCGTCTACCTCCGCCCGCCGGAAATTCTCGCGCCGTTCTGTAAGTCCTACTTTCTCTGCTCCTCCCGCATTAGCTAGACAGCATTTATTTGTTCTCACGCTTTCCTCCCCCTTTTCTAATAGCAGAGCACCATAAATTGCAGAGCTGAAGCTGAAACCCTCGACGACGAACGCCTCTCACGCCGCCGTGCTCTGCAATGCTTTACTGCTGCCACCGTCAGCGTGGTAAGTTCGTGATTAGCAATTTACCACAGCCCTTGCAGTAATTAGTAATTACCTTCGTACATTGACTCGACAGTGAATGATTTTTACGGCAGTGGTTGTGCGTATAGACGAACACGACTGTTTTTGTATGGATATTAGTAATATCCGAAATTCAGAAAAAAATTAAAAAAAAATAAAAAATGATGCCAGTCTCTAAATGGGGCCGATGATATACTTTGTCATAAATTGTTTTCAGCAAGGATTAGAATGTTAGTAATGTGTGGAAAATCCTCAAAGGGTTGGTGCACAAGAGATAACAGCTATAGTGTGAGCTGTGGTTGAAAATGTTTGAGGTGCTGCAGGCATATTTTAGGCTTTTAGCTGTATATTAGCTTTGCGAATCGGATTTCAGTATCCATTTTTTCCTCAAGTCCATTTGTTTGGAGCAAAGGCAGTCGGGTCATGATTATTTTACTGGATTGCCTTATCGTATCGGGTATTGGCCGATTGGCGCTTGTTATTTAGAAAATGAATGGGAAATGCAGGTGAATTGCCCCATTTGGTTACAGGTCCCGAGTATGTATATACGGGACAAAGGCCTGAATTCGTTGCCGAGTCTGCAAATATGCGACGGGATATAGTTAGTATGAAGAGTGGACCCTTTCGCCTGCATATATATTGTATAGCCTGCTAAAATAAACCAAGATAAAATTTATTTTGGTTATTTTACTTGATTTAATCTTTATATCTTATGACGACAATCTTCATGAACTGTGAGAAATAGCATTATCATAGGAAAATGAAATGCAGATATTGATGATTCTATGTATGTGTGTGTGTGCGTGTTGTGTGTTTTATCATTCGAAATGTTACTGAAACCATAGAATTGGCCAACGAAAGATACTGGAAATGTATTAGCTATTGTTTGGGATGGATGAACAAGTACAAGTGGTACAGTGATGAGTGACTGATGAGTGACTGTTGACTTTTCTCAGGACTTGATAGGAAGATCCACCTCGTTAATTGAAGTGGCTCATGCAGCTGACTTGATACAACGCCAACAACGCTCACAATTTCAGTGTACGACTTTCGAAAGTTCGGTTTGTTACTGCTAATTGTTCTTCAATATTGTTTTTTTTTCCTGCTGCCATGAATGATTCAATTTTTATTTTGTAGCCAAAATTAAGGGAATCCTTGCGACAGCACTGAAGGTAAAAGTTTGAGCACTAGAATGAAACCCACTCTTAAAGTAATTGAACATATGACAGTGATCTGTCTTAGAATCATAAATCATCTGGACTAATACTTACATTTGAATGCGTTCATTTTATGTCTTGCCATGCAGGGGAATCCAGATCTCATCCCATCTGTATTAACTTTAGCGCTTAATGATGCTGTAACTTACGATAAGGTCAGATATGGTGTTGCATGTTCCATTTTCCCCCTTTTTTGAAGAAAAAGGAATATCTTACTTGCTTATGAATTTGCAGGCAACAAAATCTGGAGGTCCCAATGGCTCGATACGGTTTAGGTAAATTGAAATGTGTTTTGTAATTCACATGGATGCCGCCTGTTAGCAATTCTTTTTCCATACAAATACAAAATGGTTATTATTATTACAGAATAGACCATTTATATATGATACTTAAAGCTGCAGTTGAGAAAATTTTCTCAAATAACCGTAATGGCAGGCAGCAATTTTATGTGAATATAGAACTTCATTCAATTGTTAAATTGATTTGACCTTTATCGTTCTCGGACTGTACCTGTGTAAATGTACATTTTGCTCATTATTCCCATGGTTTTGTTTTGTCCTCTATATATTCGTTACTTGAAGCTCAGAGATCAGCCGACCAGAAAATAAAAATCTGGCTGCTGCTCTAAGTTTGTTGGAGGATGCAAAGAAGGAAATAGATTCTGTATCCAAAGGTGGACCAATATCATATGCAGATCTCATCCAATATGCAGGTAGTTAATAATATCCAGAAAATCAGATGATGCACTGTTTTTATGTTTGGAACCAAAATCAAGGATGAAAATAGGCATCATTGATCACATCTCATCTAGTGGAATTGAATATATGAGGATTGTATGGCTCTGTACACGATGAACTGGTGTAGTGACTAATGGGCTCAATTGAACTTATCTGAATGGATTTAGGTCCCCTGTGAGATTATGCGACCTATATTACTGAGAATTTAGTGTATGTTCATTACTTTTTAAGTTACTATTACAAAAATACTTTTGCTATTTCATTAAGTTCTGGTGACTCAACAAGTCGTACTAACATTAATTTTCTCTCGTCTCAATGCAGCTCAAAGTGCTGCCAAATCTACCTTTCTTGCCTCCGCCATCCGGAAATGTGGTGGAAATGAAGAGAAAGGGGCATTACTCTACACTGCATATGGCTCAAGTGGGCAGGTTTAGTTTCTCAAGGGTCACTTATTGAACATAGTTTTCCTTGTTTGCAGTTTTCTTTTTCCATTACGTGACTATTCTGTATGCCAAAACTACAAAGAAGTAAAGCATGACAAAAAAAAAACCCAAGTAAAAGTAATATCCAAGGAAAGAAAAGAAAATAACTTACAATAGAAACATAATTTGTGTACACCCGTTTTAAGTTTCTTGTGGATGCTTTCAGTTCTTTAGGCTGAGTACTTCTTTTTCTTAACAGTGTCTATATATGTTGAGTTCCACAAAAATAAGTACAGCTTGAGATGAGTCCTCGGTTGCCTTGTTACAAGACGTTACTATGAATATTATGTTCGACATGCTCCTCCTCTGACTATTACAGAATCCGAGCTTATGTTCTTGGCATGTTTGTTTGGAATAAGCGTAATACTGTTATCACTCTGAATCATCCCTCGAGAACCATACAGAATTTGATAATTTTATAAATAAATAATTAATTCTTTTTACTTCATGCAGTGGGGCCTCTTTGACCGGCAGTTTGGGAGGTCAGATGCAGAACAACCCGACCCAGAAGGAAGGGTTCCTCAGTGGGAGAAATCCACCGTTGAGGAAATGAAAAATAAGTTCTCCGCTATCGGTTTTGGGCCCCGCCAGGTAAACAGTCAGACCATACTTCTCTATCTCTAATGCAAATAACTTACGGTGATTATCTGTAACCATGCATCGAAAACCTTGTATGTCCTTACATAAAAAAAATATATATATATTTCAATTTTATTTTAGTAGCTTTAAAAATCATTTTAATAAATCAACTTTGCAGCTAGCTGTCATGTCAGCATTCTTGGGTCCCGACCAGTCGGCAAACGAGGCATTGCTAGCTTCTGATCCGGATGTTCTGCCATGGGTTCAGAAATATCAACGCAGCCGTGAAACAGTATCACAAACTGATTATGAGGTCAAATTAATTATTACTCATCCCGTTTTATTTTTCTTTTTCATTACATCTTCTTGAACAGGAAAGGAGAAAAATATAAACTACATACAATTAACCTTTCAGAGAAATGCCAAAACATTTTTAGTCGGCACAATTCGGTTTTATGAGATTTTGAAGCCATCAATTTGTAGAAGAGATGTCGAATTCTTATGTTTCAGGTTGACCTCATAACCACGCTGACAAAACTGAGTTCCTTGGGCCAGCAAATCAATTACGAGGCTTATACATATCCAGTCAAAAGGGTTGATCTCAGCAAACTCAAATTGTAGGCACGCATGGCTCACTTTTTCCTGTTGTATAAATTTGTGCTTTAAATATATATATATATATGTATATGAAATAGCAAAATAACTCATGTGAAGGTAAAATTGCAATATATATAAATCCCAAAGTGGCTTATTAACTATCACATTTGCAGAAATCCATTCATATCACTAATTAGTAATTACAACGTGAACATTCTATCCAATCACTTGAGTTGGTGTGCATTTTTGGCATATTGTAATCTATTTTATTAGTTGTAAACATTTTCTATCTCAATTATTTACATCAGGATTACTATGTCTAGTCAATTAGGTCCCTTTAACTAACTACTAGTTCCCTTTAATTGTGTTCATTAATTTCGCCCGTCAAGGTTAATACCACACTTAAAAACTATGGTAGCTAACTAAATTGGACAACATTAATTTTGTGCACCATAGGTTCGCCTATATTTCCTGAAAATATAAATTTCAGTTCGATTTTGTTAGTAGCTAACTAAATTGGACAACATTAATTATTGTGCAACATAGGTTCACATATATTTCCTGAAAAATATAAATTTCAGTTCGATTTTTTGTTGGCTCGGCTATCGAATTTTAGTTTAAAAATTTTGGTTATTTTAGTTTTATAAATTTGGACGGTAAACAGAGACGAATTGAACCGACCAATGCAGTAAAGAATCGAAACCCCTCACCTGTTGTGCTGTTAAATGCAAATTCTACAAAACTCTTACACTAATCGTGCTTTCATTATAAAATATTATATTTTTATTGATATTTTTTTGTTCAATATATACAAATTTATCAAAAAATAAATAAATTTACCTGATTACACATATATGGTTGGAGTCTTATCCATTGTCAAACAATGAGAAAGATTAGCTACACTATTATTTCTTCTTCCTAACTTTATTACCTTTATTTTTCCCTAGTACAAGGAATTGTCTTTATGCTTAAAATAATACTCTGTTATATTACCC